ACGTTCTACTCTCGCGCTCCCCCTTCCTCCTCCCTCCACATCACATACACACACACTCTCTCTCTCTCCCTCTCTCTCTCTCCTTCTCTCTCCCTGCTCTGGTTGGGTATGTCGCAGAGCAGCCAGGGCGTGGCTGACATGGTGGTCTCGTCCGGCTGTGGGGAAGGTCCCCTCCTCCCGCCACGACCACCACCGGCCGTAGGACGACAAGCAGGACAAGAAGGAGGAAGAGGCCACAGGTCATTGGAAGAGACAGAGACAAGGACAGCTAGTGGTAGCATCGATATCGGCTCGGTTGTCCGCTACACCCATGCCCGCCATGCCCTCCATCCCTCTCCCAAGCGACGCAAGTTCCTCGCCGCCTCGGTCGCCGCCTCGTACCGCTCGCATCCCTCGCCGCCCGAGTCGGCCACGGCATCGCCCACGCCAGAGGCGGCGGCACAGAGCATGTTTGGTGAGCGGAGGTCGTTGGGAGGCGGCGGAGCCGGCTCTGTTTATGCTGCGGCAAGGTCGGCGGGCGGTGGATCGGGGCGCCGGCGTGAAGGGGTGGCGGCCTTGATGGCGCACGAGGCCGCAAGCATGCGAAACCTACAGGCCATGGATGCATCGCCGTCGTCAGTGGCAGCAGCGGTGTCGCTGGTCGAGCGTGACGCCATAGCCCGCGAGATGGCGGTGGGGATGGCCGCGCTGTCGATGGCCGCGCCCGAGGCTGTCTTCTCGCCGTGGAAGCTCGCTGCAGTGTTTGACCAGTTTGCAGACCCACTCGACTCGACCGTGATCGGACCCGAGGGCGTGTACGAGCTCTGCCAGGCGCTCGGATGGAATGTCGAATCGGTACACCTGCTCGCGCTGGCTTGGATCGTCAACGCGGCACTGATGGGCTACTTTGCGCAGGACGAGTGGATGACGCTCTCGCAGCACGATGTGGCGTCGCTCGACTCGCTCAACACCTTTGTCAACTCGATTGTCGAGCGGGTGGCCGGCGACGATGACTCGCTTCGGGCGCTCTACCGCTACGCGTTCGAGTACATGACGCGGCCGGGGCAAAAGTCGGTCTCCAAAGACATGGCGTGCTCGATGTGGCGGTTGCTGCTGGCGCCGGGCGCGGGCGAGAGTGGGCTCCTTGACGCCTTTGAGGCCTTTCTCCACTCCCCAGCCTGCTCGTACCGAGTCATCAATGCTGATCAGTGGGCGCTCTTTGTCGACTTTTACGAGCTCCTCTCCACTGCAGCCTCGATCGACGACGTCTACTCGGCCGACTCGGCCTGGCCGGTCCTCTTTGACGAGTTTGTAGCCTGGATGCGGGAGAGCGCATGACGTGGTGCTGAGCACAAGGAACTGGCAATGTCCTCGCCGCTAAAACAAGCAACCGATGTACTGCGCCGCACTTGATCTTCAGGCCTTGGCCTTGCCCTTCTTGCTCTTTCCCTTCTTGCTCGAGCCCTTGCCCTTGCCCTTGCCCTTGCCGCTGCTGCGCTTGGCCCGCTTGGTTGCCGGCTCGTTATCGTGCTTGGACGGGGCCTGGCGGATGCCGAAGAGGGCCGGCAGAACGTCGCTGGCGTTGAGGTCGGCGACGTTCTTGTCGAGCGCGGTCCAGACCGGCGGCGCCAGCAGACCGTCACGGACGCAGCTGTGCAATGCAGTCCGCGCAGCGTACGCCATGTCCACCGCCTGCTGCAGCCGCGCCACAGTGGCGATCATCTCGTTGCCGCCCGACGCCGCCACGGTCTCGGCGTCAGCATTGGGCACGCCCGCCACTAGCGCAAAATGTGCTGCAAGCTTCTTGGCCTCGTCGACATCATCACCCGCCAGCACCGCCACCGTCTTGTCCAAGCTCGCCAGCACCTGACACAAGCCGCAGAGCAGGGCCGGCGACGCCACAGGCACCTTGATCTCACCATCCTCGACCACCACCGGACCCGGCAACCATGCCTTGACCATATCACTACGACGCCACCACCAATCATCCACACACCCGTAAGTACAACCCTTGACCCACCCACCCAGGCCCATGACCGTGCCCATGCCAGCCAGCATCACCATCATAGCCACACACACCACACACACCACACACACACACACACACACACACACACCACACACACGCATATCCACACCCATTCTCCCCGGGCCCCAACCCTCGATCCAGACCCAAGCCAGGACCCCAGCTCAGATCCCCGCGCAGATGGCAGTCAGGATGCGCCCCATGCCCTCCCTCCCGGGGCCCCCCGAGTGGGCAAAGATGGCAGCAGAGACAGACGCTCATCCATCCCGAGCGGAAAGGGGGGGGGGGGGGGGGGGGGGGGGGGGGAT